AAAACCCAAGAGACGAGCTGCCTCGGCAGGCGGCTCAACCAACGTCACCGTGAGCAGGCCAGGCGACTGCCCTCATGGGACTAGATCCCACCATCCTCCCCCACCCCTCCTCGTCCCCCGAGGCCTGCACCCTTCCTCCCTCCCCCGCCCTCGGCTCCGGCTGCTCCGGCCCTGGGCCCGGCCGGGGCCCCGACCCGACGGACCCGACCTGATAAAGCAGGTGAGGCGGGCTCGCGCCCTCAGATCCTCTGCGACCACAGAGCCCAGCAGGTCGGAGCGCCCCGCCCGCCCCGCTCCACCTCCCACGAGCCTCCCTCAGCGTCTCTACGAGAGCGAGCTCGCGCGCGCGTGTCTGTGTCAGTGCGTGCATCACCATGGCGACTTACTTGTACTTGCCCGGTGTCTCACCCGGTGGCCACCACCTCGGCGGACCCATGTCCTCGTCGGCGTCCTACCACCACCATCATCACGCCCACCACCTGCACCACCACCTCCACGCCCACCAGGAGGTGCTGCCGCCCTCGCCGCCGCCGAGCCTCCAGTCCTGGGGGCTGGACCACAGCGCGCACACCGGCGGCCACCCCGTCGGCGACCTCAGCGTTGGCGGCCACCCCCTGGTGCCCCTCGGCTCCCGCTGCTCGGACGGCTGCCACTCGCCCACCCCCAGCGACCGGTCCGAGGACCGCTCCCTCAGCCCCGTGGAGAGGCGGCACCAGCAGAACCTCGCCGCCTTCAACGTCCAGGTGCAGCAGCCGCGCTCGAGCTTCGCGCTGGACGAGGACGCCCTCGACGACGAGGAGGATGACGACGACGACGACGACGCGGCGGAGGACGGCAAGCAGCCCAAGCGGCGCGGCGGCAAGGCCCTGAGCCCCGTGGTGGTGAAGAAGAGGCGCCTGGCGGCCAACGCCCGGGAGCGTCGCCGCATGCTCAACCTCAACACGGCCTTCGACCGCCTCCGGACGCACCTCCCCTCGCTGGGCAGCGACCGGCAGCTGTCCAAGTACGAGACCCTGCAGATGGCGCAGACCTACATCAACGCCCTGGTGGACCTGCTGGTCTAGCGCCCACCGGACCCCGACGTGGGCCCGTTCTCCTGACCAACCCCGCGGCTGCGGGCCCGCGCCCATGTGCTGGACAACCCTTGCTCAACGGTGCGAACTTGTATACTGCGTGTTCAATACCGCGTGTTGAAAGTCTTCCATTTTCGAATACTTTTCTTTTGCTTTGAGAGAGTACTAGACTGTGACTAATGTTTGATAGTAGTATTTTGTGAGGGGTGTTAGAATCTGTCGGTAGTGCCCAGTGCCCTGGTCCTGCTTCTCCCGTGTCTTCCGAGATTTTTTTTTTTTTTTTTTTTGAGTTTGGAGGGTATTTGTGAAACTAAGACAGGGAAAATGTTAGTTCGATTTAAACCAAGTCTGTGATATGTGCCACGTCCTAATAAGTTAAGTGCGAATTCCGAAGAGACCTGACATAAATGTTTTTGATATCTTGTGTGCCTGTCAAATCTTCGTCCTTTCCGTTCTAGACTGTCGGTATCCGTGTTCCATGTAGTCATATAAGATATATTTATTAATTTTATTGATGCCATTGGCAAACGTTGATATTTAAATTAGTCAGTATGCAATTAATTGAATTATACGCTTATGAATTGTAAAAAAAATATTGTGTGCCACTTGCCCACTTAGTTCCCTGAACACACCTCACTGAGATTAATACTTTTAAAAATACCAAACAGATAATATCACACTTGCTTATGTTCTTTCACACAGCTGAAAATAACAGGAGAAACAATCATTTATTCGTTTTATTTCGTTTTCGAAGGGGACAACAAAAATATGAGTTTTTGTGGAAAACATCAATGACAAAGAGACATTTTAGGATAATGAATATTTTTTGAGGCACTGGAAAAAACAGATGTGCTATTTCGTACTTTCCCAGGGGTGGGTGTATTTTCAGTTTTTTAAAAATATTTGCAGTATGAGCAAACCAATCACATTTTGGAATACATTATCGCACTCCTCGCAAAATTCCGCATCAAACGAGCCTACACGTGATAAGGTTTTAATAAGCAATCAGCGAATGAAAAGCAAGTCAATAAGTACAAAAAAATCAATTAACCTAGGCCATTTCTGAACAGAACCAAAGTAGCCTCGTTTGACGCATTACTTTGCATTGATTACGAAAACAGTTTTTAAAATCAAATTTTGTTTCAAAGGAAATAATTTTTTCGAATAAACATAAATTGTAATGCGTTTGGAGGTCCACCTTTGCTTTGCTTTACCAGTGGGATAATGCCCGTTAAATTGAAATGAAAATTAGATAACTAGAACTAGTACTACTAATCGTAAAACGCGCCTGCCCTCTTCAACTCGGTTTTGGGTTTTGGCGACAAATAAAGATATCTGATAAAAAATATGTCTACTCACATGGAGAGAAGAGAGTGAGTCACGCCAGCTTACAGCGGCGCTGATCTGCGTCACCTGAGGTATAGCCTAGACAACCAGACCACTCGACCACTCGAACGAGCCGACTGAGCGCCGCAGGACTTGACCTCCGCGCGCGTGCAGCGGCGACAAGTGCACTCGAGATAGCGGTGGCGGAGAATACCTCCGAGACAATCACCATATATCAGGTCGACTGAGTCAGGAAAAAAAAAGTCAGCCAAAAAAGTAAGTCAGAAAATCTATCAACAAGATGCTCGGAGTTGGAGTGATAAACGCCCCATTTTGATCGCAATTTCATGCTCGAGAGAAAATCCCAGTGAAAAATGAAAAATTGATACGATGTCGTTTCGACATCGCATGTCAAAAATTCATCGACATATCAGGTACAAATCTTTTTTATCGTTTCGTTTACGACATTCGATATGGGAACGCTATCGTTTCGATATCGCTCCAAAAAACCCTTTCTGACTGGGAAGTGGCTGCTCCCAAATTATCCCCTTGCACATAAGTCGTTTTTTTTTTTCAATTTCAATGAAAGTACTTGATAACGCGTGCGTACGCTTAATGCGTGGATCCTTTTGCACACTTTGAAACGACAGTGCGAAAAGGGGAGGTGAAAGAAGTGCAGCCATAAGAATATACGTGAATTTTCATTCAATGATAATTGATATTATTAAAGACGAAGGAGTTGTGCGGTGAGGGCGGTAGGTACGATGAGGCGCTGCCTTTTGTCCTGCCGATGCCGATGAAGGCGGGCGGGGGGCGGGCGGGGGAGGCCCTCCCCCCCACACCCACACCCACCCTCACACGCGTCCGCTGCGGGCTCTCCATGGACTCGACTGGGCAGCAGTCGAATTTCGTGAAGTTTTGTGGACGGGATAAATGAGTGGAGGAGATCCCTTGGTATGGCGGCCGCCGTGCGGCGTGCGCTGCTGTCAATCAGCCAAATTACTGGCTTCTGGTTGACTGGTCGGGGGTGGGGAGGGAGGGAGGGAGGGTGCCCGGGAAGGGATAGGCAGGCGCTTCTCCAGTTGCTCGCATTTTTGCAACACAGTCAACCCCGCGGGCGACGCGCAAAACTCACCGCAGTTTTTCGTACACTGGAAAAAAAAGAAAGAAAGGCAAGTAATGATCTATTGAAAAGTTACGACAAAAACAATGAATAAATTCATACAAACGCGGACGAATTTCGAAAAGAAAAGTGGCAGAGGTTTTAGAGGATTGTGAGTGGTTGTCTGAAAACCCAAGAGACGAGCTGCCTCGGCAGGCGGCTCAACCAACGTCACCGTGAGCAGGCCAGGCGACTGCCCTCATGGGACTAGATCCCACCATCAGAGGGGCATAAAGTACGTCAGAGCATCGTTCGATTGATTCGACCCGGACATCGGCAGGCTAGGAGACGGACACATTGACGTAAGTTGAAAGCGTTGCACGCAAATCGCCACACTGATAAACCAAACCGGTGATAAGTACTTGTAAGATTCCGTTTACGGGGCACCGCGCTTTCTCCATGCAAAACACCCCCGTCGACACGAGCGCGATAGTAGTCGGGCAACAGCGGCTCCACGGCGAGTGACTTTGATGGTTTTCTCTCTCTCTCTCTCTCTCTCTCTCTCTCTC